AAAAAAAAAAAAACATTGCTGGGCACAGTGGTACACGCCTGTAATCCCCCAGCAGCTCCAGAGGCTGAGGCAGGAGGATTGCAAATTCAAAGCCAGCTTTAGCAATGGTGAGATACTAAGCAATTCAGTGAGACCCTGTCTCTAAATAAAATACAAAACAGGGCTGGAGATATGGCTCAGTGGTTGAGTGCCCCTGAGTTCAATCCTCAATACTCCCTGCCGCCCCCCCCCCCAAAAAAAAAAGAAAGAAAGAAAGACTGGTCACTGGTCACAGTGGTGTACACCTGTAATCCCAGCTACCTAAAGAGGCTGAGGCAGGATAWGTGCATGAAAGACACTTAATAAGACCCTGTTTGGAAATAAAAAATAAAAAGGACTGAGGATGTAGTTCAGTAGTAAAGCACTTGCCTAGTATTCTTAAAGCCCTGAGTCAGCTCCCATTACTGGAATAAAAAAAAAAGTGTCAAATTTAAAAATAAAGGTAGGAGAATCCCTAAAAGACAGATGCCTGCTTCTTTTTCCATTTCTTGCTTCTACTACCAAAAGCAATGCTCCACCAGATGTGATCCTTCCCCTGACTCCCTCTTTGATGATTCATAGCTAGGGTGTTTAATGAGACAAAGGTGATAGGGGAGAAATAAGTGGCTATTTTACTCTTTTGTTGTTGTTGTATATTTGTTTTGGTGCTGGCACGTAAAGTAAACCCAGGGTGCTTTACAACTGAGCCACATCCCCAACCTTTCTTATTTATTCTTTTTTTTTTTTTTTTTTAATTTTGAGACAGGGTTTTGTTAAAGTACTTAGGGCCTCACTAAGTTGCTGAGGCTGGCTTTGAACTTTCGATCCTCCTGCCTCAGCCTCTGCAAATCACTGGGATTACAGGTATGTGCCTTCATGCCCAGCTGCTCCCAAACTTAATTTCCTTCTCCATTTTCATCTCTCCTTCTCCTTCTCTTTCTTCTTTTATCCAAGCATCATTTATTCTTGATTAGGAGATCATTAAAGGGGAAAAGCATCCAAGTTTTATGTTCTCTTAGCTGGTGGTACCATAGTTTCCTCAGTTTTCCAGAGCACCCCTAATAAGAGGGGCTGTGTTTATAGAGTGAAGGGGTGTCTGCTGGACACTTATTACTTGTTGACATTACCCAAAGTCCAGGAGGTCAAGATGCAGTAGGGGCACTGGTAGTGTAGTTCAATGGTAAAGATCATGTTTAGTGTGAGTGTGGCCCTGGGTTCATCCCCAGCACCAAATAAGCAAATAAATAATGAGATAGGGAAGGGAAATTATTAAGGTTCAGGCCACAGAGTTAGCTCCAGGGCTAGCTGGCAGAGGCTTGTCCCCTGTTTTCCCAAAGTGTCAAAGATGTATGATGCTTCTTGGCAGAGGTGAAGGATGCTCTTCAGAAAGAAAGGAGGAATCTCTTCAGAAAGATATCTGGGTCCTCTGGCTGAGAGGGGTTAGATCCTCAAGAAATCTTGGGGTGCTTCCTAGCAACAGTCTGGGAGGAAGGGAGGGAGAGAAGCAAAAGAGAGAGGGAGGGGCCTGGGCATGGCTGCTCCTACTAGAGCCCAGAGAACAGTCTGTTCCTGCTGCCTCCTTGGCAACCAAAATCTAAGCTGGAGTGGAGGGGAGGGGGACCTTCAGATTTATCCCCCTTGGAGGGTCCCTAACCATTCACATTCATACCCCACCCTCTGGCTCTCCCCATCGGAGCTGGGCGTATCAGGGATGGGAGGGGATGGTCTAGGTGAGGGGTTTCATAGCAAGAAGGGAACAGGAGCTGGGGATGAACTGAATCTGAATCTGAGAAGAGCTAGAAGCTTCAGGAAACAGGTGGGCAGGGTGACCGGGTGGGAAGAGGAGGATGCAACACAGGGACAGGGGCTATAAGCCCAGACTTGGGTTGGATCTGGGTGTCTGGTGAGACACCTGTTCTGGAGGCAGTGTGCCCTTCATTTTGCCCTTGCCCAGGTCTGTTACCAGACCCTATTGGGAAATCAGGAAAAAGGGAGAGGTCAGGAGAAGATGGGAAGGGTTCAAGTTACCCGACTCTGTCCCTAGCAGGGGCTGGAGGGAGGTAGATCTTGAGGCATTTCATTTTTTTTAGCCCTGGCTTTAGTATTTCTTTGGGGAGGAGGGCATCTAGGATTTCAGAAAGTCTCTCCCGCCCAGTATTTTTAGGACACTGCATCAAAGACAGATGTGGTGGAGAGAGAGAGAATAGAAGGGAAACAAAAACAATAGCACCTTCATCTTCCCCTTCTGGATTCCTCACCCCTGCCCTAATCTAGATGACTGCTGGGCCTCTCTGTTGCCTCCTATTTTTACCTGGTCCAGGCAAAATATAAATGTGTATCTCATGCACCCAGGTTATCTCCCAACTCCCAGGGCAGCCTGGACCCGAGGAACTATTTTCATGCAGGACAGAGCATGCACACTGCAGCCTTGCTCCCCAGGGTTTCAGTCAAACCTGATCACTGATGAGGTGGCATCAATTGGCAGGCAGCCACCCTCGAAGCACCTACACTGCACACTGCACTGACTTCACACTGCAGCCTYCGGCCCCACACTGCAGCTGTTGAATGTTCGCTCTGAGCCCAGACTGAACACAGGTGCCCTTACTGCGTGCTGATTCTGCACACTGCAACCTCAATTCCCCCACTGCAGCTGCCACTGCACACTGCAGGTGCCCTTCACCTATTGCATTGCCCTCATCACCACCAATTAACTGCACACCCCATGGGTGTGTCAGCCCAGCTGCCCTTCTCATCCTCATGGTCTCAGGGGCTCCAAGAAAGGAATCCTCCCCTCTGATATGTATTGCAAACCCTAACACTCGCTGTAAGAGAAGTGGTTCCATCAGAGAATCGAGGTGGCTAAGACTAAGATGGGCAAAGGGAGCCGAACTTGGATAGGCTGTTGGTCAGAACCTCAACTCAGCAAGTGATTCTGCCCAGTATAAACTGGGCGATGAGCAGAGAGCAGTCCGCACTCCCCCCACCTCAYACACACACACACACACACACACACACACACACACACTCTCCTCCCCAAGAACAGCCTGTGAAGGCAGTGCCCCGCCCTGGGAACCGTGGGAAGCTTGTGGCCCCCGCTGGTAAAACTGGGCTAATGACAGCGGGGGAACCGGCGGGGCCAGAGGGGGGGGTGCTAGAGTAATTAGACCTCTGCCTGGCGCTAAGAGGTCCTGAGATGAAAGGGGCTCTGGCGTCACTGGCATGGTTTTATGTCCATGAATGCAGGTGTGTGTGTGTGTGTGTGTGTGTGTGTGTGCACGCGCGCGCGCACACGCTCGCTCGCGTATGTGTGTGTGTGTGTGTGTGTGTGTGTGTGTGTGTGTGTGTGTAGGGGGGTGGGGCTGCAGTGGAGACCTCTTCTTCCGGGAAGGGGATCTATGTGTACGCAGCCCTCCCTCCTCCTTAGGTTGGCCCTGGTACCATTTGGATTTTGGTGGGGCAAACATGGGAGGAAATACCACGTCGGTAAAGCTGGGAGATGAGGGATTATGGCAAGTCTTGACCCCTTAGAAGCTCAGCCCGGGGAGCAGATTGTTAGGGAAATGGCAGGTGGCCTTGAATACAAAGAGCCCCTACTGAGAAGGGTGTAGTTTGAATGGGGAGGCAGTGGATGAGTATTAATGTTAGAAATGAGGGAAGGTGGTTAAGGAGAATGATTCCCCCGAAGGATTAAAACATAGTTAAGAGGACCCCAGGATTCACCTGCCCAATCCTCTCATTTTTTACTGGAGGTAACTCTACCCCCGCAGCAGTGGTGATTTGTTCAAGGTCATACAAGTGAGTTACTGGTAGATAAGGGACCCGAACTCCGAAACATACTCTACACCTCTAAGCGTTTTATATTTGGCCTTCTTTCCCAATTTATTAGGTGGAAGCAGCTCTTCAATACTTCCTCCCCCACCCCAAGGTGCAAACCTCAAACCCCCAATTCCCTCAAAAAGCAAAGGCTGTTTTTTAAATGACATCTTTTCCAAATCATGTCACCAAGTACCACTCCTGCCGGAGCCGTCGAAGTGGAAAGGCGAGTCCGAGCCCGGCAGGGGCCCGGGCGGCTGGGGGGCAGCCGAGCCGCTGGCCAGGGTCCCGGGGCGCGGCGGGGGGCGGGGGCCGGCGGCTGCAAGGCGGCCTGCAGGGAGCAGCCGCGAGCCGGCCTGGCGYGCAGATCCAGAGCCTGAGCCCCAGCCCGAGCGGGGCGGAGGAGGGAGGAGCCAGAGCGGCCGCCGCCTCTGCCGGAGGAGCCGCGGGGCCGCCACACTCGCCCCCCGCCCCCCCGCGCTCACTCGCTCTCACACCCGGGCGCTGGAGGCGGGCGGCCCGGGCCCCACCGGCCCCCCATGGACGCCCCCGGTACGGGGCGCTGAGACCCCAGCGTCGTTGCCCAGCCCGGTCCAGCGCGCCACGCCGAGGTAAGGAGGAGGGAGCGAGGGGGCATTAATATGCAAATGTCTCGCGATTGATTATGCAAAGCCGCGGGTCTCTGTGGGCAGCTTGCAGGCGGGCTGGGGGCGCCCAGGGGGTACCCGCTGCCAGCTTCAGCCTTTCCAGGTGCCCCGGTGACCCTGTCACAGCCTGGGAGCTTGCAACTTACGCCCTGGGGAAGGGAGGTGCTGCTGGGAGGTCGGTGGGCCCCGGGGTTCGCCGAAGGAGATGGCGTCTGGGCCTCCCCCTCGAGGGCCCGCCCGGCCTCTGTCCGGCCGGTCTGCTGCGCATTCCCAGGCCGGCCCCGCTGCCGGAGCTCCCCCGCCCGCCGCGCCGCGGTTTGTTTACGGTGCGCCGGAGGACTGCCCCCACCAGCCCCCACCCCTAGCCTCGGAGGCCGAGTGGCCTTTGCAAAAGCTGCCTCCAGCTGCGGAGGGCAGTGTGAGTGCGGTGGGGGGGGGGAGGTTTGCGTGGATCGGAGGAGAGGGAAGTCCCCCTCCCCTCACCCGCCTCCCCAATAGAGCATGGCTTTCTGGTTGCAACATTACTAATTGCAAAAAAACGAGGCTGGTGGGGTGGGGTGGGGGGAGTGTGCATGTAGTGGTGAGGATGTGCTTGATGGTCCCTAGATGACTTAGGAGAGTTGCTGGCTAGCATGGCTGGGGCAGAGAGRAAGGAATAGAGCTGTGTTGTGTGCCCCCTCCTTGTTTCCCTCCCTTTGCAACGTGTCTCTGGTGCCCCTTCTCTGTCTAGGGCCCTCCCTTGTCCAATATGAAAGGAAGGCCTGGAGGGTTGACAAGCAATGGAAAGAGCCATCAATTCCAGGGATTGGAGGGGTGGGCGCATAGAAGGAAAGCCAGTAAAATGGGAACCTGCCTCTCAATACTGGCTCCAGCCCCAGGAGTGGGGGAATAAAAGGGGTTGCAAGATGAAAAGGGGAGCAAAGGTGGCATGCAGACACAGATATGTCCACACAGACAATTACCCAGGGACACCCAGGCAGACTCAAGGACAGGAGCTGCTGGACACACCCACATGGGGACAAGGGAAGAGGCTGCCTGCTGATGCACTGTGGAGCTCAGGGTGGGACACACCCACGGGAGACCAAGAGCAGGGAGACCAATCCATGCATGTACCCACGCACAGGGTCACACAGAGATGCTGTCACACGCAGGGGCAAGGAGGAGTCACTGTCACCCACACAGAAAAAGTCACTATCGCATGCATGCATGCACACAGAGCATTTGCACACAGCCCGCACAATTACAAAAGACCCTGTCACTCACAAGCACACACGTGCTCACATGTGCCCAGTCACCAAGTCATCATCGCCTGCCATGGCAGTTGTTGTCACTCAAACACAAATGCAGCTACACATCAGTACATGTGTACACAACTTAGCAACAAGTATTTTCTGGACTCTTACTGTGGAACCCAGAGGTTCTATAGAAAGAAAAAARAAAARAAAAGAAAAGAAACAACCCTGCTCCTGAAAAAATAAAATTTGAATGAAAAGACTTTCCTGCATAATGGTGCAAAGATTACATTCTCAATAACTATTGCTTGTCATACCACTGTTACTAGATGGCAAGCTCCTTGAGACCTGAAAGAATCATTGGAAGAGTTCTGGATTCCTCTCAGAACCTAGCCCAGGATGTACTCTGTAAACACTTGTTAATTGATTGACTGTGGGAACTCCAGACACAGGTGCATTTATTTGCGCACAGTCCCAGGGACTCAGGTGCAGGACGCATGCACAAGGCTCCAGTCCACACAGTCACAGGTTCACGCCAGCAGTGTTCAGACAGCCCYGGGTGCACACATTGCAACCAGGGCTGCCTGGCATACACCTAGATGCACAGGATCATAGACTTTTTCCTTCACCTTCTTTCTGTCTACTTCCTTTAGACTCAGCACTGTTGGCAATGAACTTTTTTTTTTTCCTTTTGGAGGGACAGAGAAACAAGAGCAAGTGGGCACAGGGGGGTTCCAGAGGGCCGAATCATGGACCCAAAACGGTGTCCAGTGACTTCTWGCAGCTGGGATTGTCCTGGTTGCTCCGGGAGGAGGGTGTCTTGGGAAGAACTGGTTCCTAAGGAGCAGATCTCTAAACCCTACCCTAAATGCCAAAAGGGACCTAACTGCCCCTGCTAGGGGTTATTTGCCTGGGCCTTTCTTGGGGACCCTCTGTTGCCCCCAGCTGAGTGCCTGCCTCCCACCGAGAGTCCGCCCCTTTTCCCACCTCGGCTCTCCTGTCCAAACTTGGAAGCTTTCCTTAGGAGGCCCTAGGCTGGCGAGTGTCTGCGTGAGTGATGTGTATTTTTGACTTGGAATTTCTCTCTAATGCTGTCTCTCTGTTGCTCTGTCTTGGGGTGTCTGATTCTCCCTCTCTTGTTCTTCTGCCAGTCTGTAACTCTCTCTCACCCTGTCCTTGTTTCTGTTTCTGCCACAGCCTCTTTTTTCAAGCTGGGAACTGGCAGCGACTGTTCTTCATACTTTTCCAGTTGTTAATACTCAAACTGTGGCCCTCTGCCCCGCCCGCCCAGCCTCTGGGGTCAGCGGGAGGTTGTGGTGGGGGTGGGGGGCTGGGGGGCTCAGCTGGCTGCTCAGGACATCCTGCACTTCCTTAGTGCTGCAGCTGCAGCTGACCAGCAAGTTTTGGGGGCTGGGAAAGGGGGAAGGGGGGGTCAGCTACTGTCAAAGGGGTCAGCTACTGTCCATGCTGACCCCTTAGGTTGGCAGGTCCAGCCAGGGGACACCAGTTCTGTGGACACCCTTGCTGTGCAGATTGCAGCTCCTAAACAAGCCAGTGAGGCCTCCTCACTGACCCAAGCCAGTGGATATTGGCTGGAGTTGGCAGGACTAGGTCAGCTGGGTCCACATCAGGACTTGCAATGGCCTTTCTCCACACCCCTGGCAGCTGAGACCCACCTCAGAGATGCCCAACAGCTGTGTCCTTCTTGCCTCGGCTCAAGCCTGGTTCTGAGGGTACAGCTGTTCAGAATCTGTGGGGCGCAGTGAGGCCCTGTCACAAACCAGCAGGTTCCAGCCCAGAGAGGGCAGAAAGGGCAGGAGAATTTGAGCAGTGGGCACAAGGGCAGGAGACCCAAAGCCCAGGGAGGCACCAAACATTTCTGGCCATGCTTCCTTCTAGCCTTGGTCTACTTGGATGAGGAGGTACTGGTAATGATTCCATTGTGGAGACTCCTTGGGCTGCCACAGGAAGGAAAACTGAGGCTTGGTCACAGGAGACRCTTAGCAAGATGAAAGAGCAAAGTATCCTTTTCCCAGTAGATCAGGGATTTATTTATTTATTTTTGTGGTGCTGGGGATTGAACCCAGGGCCTTGTGCATGCAAAGCAAGCACTCTACCAACTGAGCTATATCCCCAGCCTACAGAGATTTTTTTTTTCTTTTTCTAGAGACTCCCTGGGTTTGAATCCCACCTCTGCCTCTTGCTGGTTTTGCRACCTTGCACAGAGTGATTAACTTCCCTCTTATCTATAACTTGGGGATGGTAATCTCTACCTCATTTAGCTTTTTGACCTTTAGAGAAGTTAAAATACATAAAAATATTTTAAAAGTGTCTGGGTCAGGCATGGTGGCGCACGCTTGGAGTTCCAGCAACTCTGGAGGCTGAGGCAGGRGGATCTCAAGTTCAAGGCTAGCTTGAGCAACTTAGCAAGACCCTGACCTCAAAATAAAAAAAATTAAATTAAAAAAAGGGCTGGATATTTAGCTCAGTAGTACAGTACCCCTGGGTTCAACCACCCCAATACAAAAAAAGGGCAGGGGGAGTACCTTGGTACACTCATACCAAGCTATATGTGTAAGCTTTACAGTAGACGAAGAAACCTGTGGGCCTGGGGTTCCCAAGATTTCTTAGAAAAGTGTGGTAGAAAATTGAGTMTCCTAGACATCACAGGAAAAGGAATGGAACTAGGGTGGGGGACATTGGGTCTCCAGTTTCTAGCTTCCTCAACCCTTCACATCAAATCTTTTTTTTTCCTATACATTTTTGCAACCATGAACAAGTGTATGGAGCCCAAGGCAGATTCCCTTGCCCACCCTCCTTGACTCTTTCCTTTTAGCTTAAAGGAAGTCCTTGGGAGGGGCTGGGGTTGTGGCTCAGCGGTGGAGCACTCACTTAGCATGTGTGAGGTCCTGGGTTCCATCCTCAGTATCACATAAAGCTAAATAAATAAATGTATTGTGCCCATCTACAACTAAAAAAGTATTAAAAAAAAAAAAAGTCCTTGGGAGCAGGGGTTGTGGCTCAGTGGTGGAGTGGTGGAGTGCTTGCCTCATGTCGTGGGGCACTGGGTTTGAACCTCAGCACCACATAAGTAAAATAAAGGCATTGGGTCCATGTACAAATAAATTTTTTTTTTWAAGTTTAAAAAAAAAAAGTCCTTGGCATCTCAGCCTGGGACACACCTCCTTAGCTAAGGGAACATGCATGAATCTTTGTACATAGCTACATCTCTCTTGGGACAAGTCTGAGTGAAGGGGCAGAGAGATAACAAAGAAAGTCTTTACTTCTCCCTAAGTTCTCTCCCTTCTCCTGTGTAGGTATAGCACTGAGCTCAGGGAGGAGCAGCACCCTTCCTCTCAGGGACCCAGCACTACAGCTACCAGGACCCATCCTGGTTGACAGATGCCAGATTCCACTTCCCTGCACAGAGCAGACATTAATATGAAGGGTGGTGGCAGAGAGAAACTGAGACCCTGAGGAAGGACCAGCATGGTGGGCCTGGTACATGGAGATCCTGGGTCTCTCCTGTGGTGTCTCTTTCCTATTTTGAGCCTGATGATCAGGATCCCCTCTTCCCCAATCCCCTTTTATTCAGCCTCTACCCTTCAAGGTGAAGCAAGGACAATGGTGGATGCCCCGTGGTGGGGTGACTGAGAGGCTGTGGAAGGGGAACCCATTCAATTCCACTTCTCACAGCTGTAGAGATGCTTGGGGAATTTTGGTGCCTCTGGGGGGATGGGGGGAGGCAGGCCTGACTGTGGAAAGATCTCTGCCTGGGAGTTGGGAGGCTAGGTTTTTGCCATTCACCAATTGTGTGATTTGGGGCCTAGGTTTTTATTATTGAGAAACAATGATGTCCTTCCTACTCAGACTGAAGATGAAGGACATAAGGTAGTTCAGGCTGGTGTGTAGCTCAGTAGTAGAGCCATTGCTAGCATGTGCAAGGGCTGGGTTTCATCCCCAGCACTGCAAAACAAACAACCCTCCTTAAGATGGGAAGATACCTCCTTCAATCCATTGCTGGTTGGTATGGTAAGCAGTGCCTAGGGATC